GCCCCAGGGATGTGCGTGGGTCACGGGGAGCAGGAGCCGTGTTTGTCCCTTGCACTCCATGCTCCCGGCTGCTCTGCGGATGCGGAGCCCATCAGGCTGCCCGGGGCCGTCACATCACGGGGACGGGGGTCCCGGTCTTCTGTGGCCGCTCAGCCGGGTGCCCACCCTGCCACCCCCCCGCTTTGGCTGCAAGGCTGAACCGGCAGGGCCGTGCCTAATTAAACTGCAAATCCTCGTTCATTAAGAAGCCCAAATCCCCTCTCGCTGAGCAGCCTCCCTAATGAGGATGTCTTGCTCCCGATGACAGGAACCGCTCCGTTGCTCATTAACGCCTGAAGCTGGTGGCAGCTACCCCCCCCCCGCACCCCAGCTCTGCTCCAGCCCCTCACCCGGGACTCGGCAGCCCCAGCCCTTAAAAATAAACTTTTAGAAATAAAAATAAATAAACCCACTGCTCTCGCTAACGTAGGAATGCATCGCAGGGATGGGAAGGAAGGATGGAGGGGTCACTTCTCCTTGCCCACCCCCCAGTGCGGAGGTGTCCCCTCCCAGCCCCACTGGTCCCAGTGTCACTCATGGGGACGTTTCTTTCTCGCAGGTGACAACGGCCCTTGGGCACAGAAGTGCGAGCTGGCGGGACGCCTGGGGCCGTTCGTGGGGGCCTGGCAGAGGCGGCGAGGTAACCTGGCAGTTTGGTGGGGGGCTCCCTGTCCCCAGGGGGGCTGGGGGGCTGCTCCACGAAGCCCTTCATTGCCCACTGGGGGGGATATGGGGAGCATTTCATGCCCCCCCCATCACCTTTCTGCTGGCTGCTGCCTTGAAGACACTCCAGAATAATTTTTTTCTTTCAAGCAGTCAGGTTTTCCCCTAAAACTGCTCCTGGGCGGGGGGAGGGAGCTGGGACCCTGTGGTCCCTGTTACCCCAGAGCTCGAGGCGGGTGGCTACTGGTTTTGGAGACGGGATGCTCTCACCAGCCAAACACTGGGGCCATCGGCTCCGGCAGGGTCTCGCAGCCCCCAGCCCCATCCCGCCCAGAGGAGAGCAACCCGGCAGCCCTCCCAGTGCCGCAAGACTTTGCTTTTCTTTCTCTCCACCGTTTTGGTGTGTTTTTCTTTTTTTTTCTTTTTTTTTTTTTTTTCCCCTGCCTTTCCTCCTTTTCCGGCCAAGCCATCTGCTTGGTGGGTTTATTTCAGCCAGAGCGGCCAGAAGCATGCATGAGTCAGGCGTTTCCCACTTCTGCTTGTATTACGCAGTGTAAACGCGCGCCGGGCTCGGTAATTCTCTTTGCTCGGGGTCAGCGGGCAGGGAGCGGTGGCGGAGGGGCCGCGGGCAGCAGTGCCTTTTTCCTCCTCCGCTTCCTGACACCCAGGCGATGCAACCGTGGCCGCTTCCCTGGGCAAACTCTGCCACCGGGCTGGCTTGCTTTCCCATTCCCAGAGCCCTTCCTTTGGCTTGCCCCGGGATGAAATCGTAACCTTAATTTATTTATTTTTTTTTTTTTTTTAGTAAACAAACCCTGCTGACGACCTGGGTTGCTCTTGAGCAACCGACAGTCACAAGCCGGAGCAGATGGTACAGGCAGTCCAGTGTTTGGGAACAAAGCTAGGAAAACACAGCCCCTTTCCAACCTCTCGCTGCCCGGAGAAAACACCCCAAGCCCCGGCTATCGCGGGAGGTTGGGGAGGAGATCAGGCTGGCAGGGCTCTAGGAGCTGGCTGGAAATACCAACCGGGACGGATGACTTCTGAAATCCCTTCAGCTGATTGTTAAACGGATGTTTTGAAAGCCAGCCCGGCGTTACCGTCTGCTGCCGGCTGGTCTAACGCTGCAAACACCTGCCTACGTGGGTGCTGGGTGGGTGGGATGCTCGGCCATCCCATCCTGGTCCTGGGGCATCATTCCCCAGCGGGGAAAAGCCCTTTGAGGAGGAGGAGGGCAGGGGAGGACAGGCTGCTCTGGACTCTATATGTTTTGCATAGCTCGGCGTTTCCTTTTAGGGTCCAACCCAAATTCCAGGGATGTTTTCCATTGATTTCGGGTAGTCACTGGAGTCAGTCCTCACTGGCAGAGAGCAGCACGTCCCTGTGTTCTGCCCCGCTTCTCTGGTTAGGGAGCTTCCCGCAGCCCCCAGCCTGCCCCAAAAACCCGTCTCCCACCTCGGGGCCAAAAGCCCAGCAAGAGGGGGGTGCCGGGATGGAGATGAGCGTTTCAGGGATGCGATGCTGGCTGTGTTTTGAGGCAGGTTTGGGAGGCTCCGGACCCGGTGTCCCCATGCTGAGGACCTGCTGTGTGTGGCAGGAGGTGAACCAGGGTTTTCATCCCAGCATGGGAATACTCAGTTCAGCTTTCCTGCAAAGCCGTGGCCTCCACGGCTGCATCATCCCTGCTCTGGAGAAAAATCCCTGCTTGGGTTTAGGGTGTTTCAGCCCCATTTACTGCCCAAAGTGCTAATGTGAGCTCGTTAATGTGGTGTCCTGCCCAGCCAGAGGTACTCGGGTGGTTGGAGGGAAATCTCCACCCGGTGTCCTCCTGGAGACCCCCCAACCATGCATGGAAAAGCCCTTGAAAGGCAGCTGCCTCCCAGGAGGGTGAGTTATTTAATATATGTGCAGAGAGGGGGATTGATATTAATTGCTATAATTGCTATAATTTCCTAGGGTGTCTGAAGGCAGGGGAGGCACCGTGCTTAAGCCGTAAGTGATGTGTGCTGGAAGCACTGTTACATTTCCAATAGCCACAAAAGACCCTGGTGCCGGCTGTGTCCCACCGCTTCAGGCCCCAAAGAGATGTTCACTGGGGGGAAACACCAAAAGCTGGGGTCAGGAGTGGGAGAGATTGGGGATGTGCCTGGCCCGCACCAGCAGGACAGGCAGCGGGGTCAGAAACCTTTTCCCTGGACTATTCCTCCCGCTGCCGGCACCGTGGCATCTGCACCCCACGTGTCCTCCTCCGCTCTGCCTGCGTGGGTATGGCAGCATCGCTGGGGAGAGCAGGATCAGCCCAGATGCCCGGAGCATCAGGCGGTGACTCCCGAAGAGGCTGGGGCTGGGATGGGGACCGGCACAGGGACACGGAGCAGCACGGGTTGGCCGTGCCGTCGCCTCTCTTTTGGCTCTGTCCGGAGGAAATGGCTTTGGGCGAATGCCGTTGCCATGCGGACGCTGAAAGACGAGCGGACAAAGGCTGCGCCTGGGAAGTTTGCTTGGTGAATTGGGTTGGGATTCTCTGTTTGCCCCATTCCCAGCCCCTTCCCCCCACCCCCGCAGCTGCCTGGGGCCCTTTGGGCTAGCAGCCAAAGCAGAGGCTTTCCAACACCCTTCCACCCGTTTCGATGCTCGCTACTCCCATTTCGGTGCTCAGCACCCCCGTTTTCTTGCTCGGCATCCCCATTTTGTTGCTCAGCACCCCCATTTCAGAGCTCGGCATCCCAGGCGGAGGAAGGGACCGAGCAGCTTCACCGTGCCGTGCATCTCAAACCCAAGGGCAGAGCAGGGACGTTTTGGGTGATGTCAGGGAAACAACTGAACAGGTTAATTAGCCGGCAGGAGGGTTATCAGCAGGGTGGTATTTTTAATGAAGCTGATTTCCAGCGGGCTGGGGGGCTGTCGGTGCTTTACCACACGGAGGGCAGCAGCCCGCTTGCACAGGCCATTGGCAGCCCCTGGCATAAATTCCTAATTTACCCACCTGCTCCATATTCTCAGCTGACATCAAAAGTGGAAGGAAATGCGGCGGCTCTGGCAGCCGGCTGCGTTTCTCATTGCTCGCTGGAGCAGAGGAGAAACACAAAGCAGTGCCAAACTGAGCCCCCTTTCTTTTCCCTTTCCCTATTTCTTTTAAAAAACTCCTGTAACTCTTCTCCCTCCTCTGACCCAGCTCCCTCTGCAGCGAAATCATCCTCCTTTGGGGTCATTTACTCTACCTCTGCCTCCGAGTCGTTCCTTTCCCAGGGAAACTCGGGGGTCAGCAGGTTTTCCCATCGATGCAGAGCTCCCGGGCAGCAGGATGCTGAGCGCTGCCCTTCTCTCTTGCAGGTGGGAGCTCGGCAAAGCAAACGACCTGGGAAGGAGGGCACCGGGTGCCGGCACTGGTGTACTGGCCCGGCCACATTCCTGCCAAGCGGACGAGCCACGCTCTGCTCAGGTAGGAGCCTGGCCGGATCGCATCGGGGAGCAGGGCAGCCCCTTTCCCCCCGTTTCGGAAAGACCCACCGTCCCCGCGTCGGGACTCAGGTGACGAGCTGGATTTTGGCAGCAGCGGCTGCCCGCGCTGGTTATTGCCTGCCATGTGCCAGCCTCTACTTTTGTCCTCTCCCAAGTCCGTAAGACTTAATGCTTCAGCAAAGAGGAGTTGAAAGGGCTTTTTGTGAGGCTGGTGGATTGGCGTTAGCAGCCGCCGGGGCTCCGTGTGCCTCCTGGCCGCGGTGGCTGAGTGCCTCCCGATAATTAAAAGATGACGATGTTCTCTCTCTCCACCAAGAAGCAGGCTTAGGCTTTGTGGTTTGTGAATGGCTTTATGTGGAGGAGGGTGCGGTTGTGGGAAAGGCTGGCCGGAGAGACGGTGCTTGCAATCAGCGCAGGATGCGGCCGGGCTGGGACGTAGCGAGCGACTTTTGCTCTTTCCGGAGAGAGCAGAGGGGAAGGGATCCTCCTCCTCGCCGGGGAGCTCTGCCGTCCAGAGGAGGGCTTGGAGGGGTCCTTACTGCAGCAATATTGCACCTCTGCATGCGGCAATCGCGCCGCTGCATGCGGCAGTCACGCCTCTGCATGCGGCAATTGCAGCCCTCCCTTGCAGCAATTGCACCCTTCCTGACAAGCCCTCCTTTACAGCAAATGCAGCGGAGGGGGACACAGCCTGGGCTGGGGGCAGCGGGGTGGGATGCTCCGTCTCCTTTCGTTCCTTGAAGCACATGGTGGGATGGTGGAGGTCAGGGTGGTGGGGACTGGGGAAGGGGGGGGGGGAGTTGCTGGGTGTTGGGAATGTCCCAGCTGCTGGAAGCAGGTCCTGACTGGTGAGCCCTGGGGAGGCACTGGGTGTTTCTGAGATCCGTGAGATAAGCTGGAGCTCCTTACGTGGCCTGAGGGCAGCTCTGGGAGCTGGATTTTTGCAAGTGGGGGGAAGTTTCAAGGCGTGAGCTGAGGCCCTGACGTCTGGCGGAGGGGATGGGGTGCATGCAGCACCCCGTGGGTTTCACCTCCAAACCCTTCCCCTCCATGGCTGGGTGATGGACCGACCACTGGGACATGGGGCAGAGCTGCCAACCCGTGCCCGCTCGGGCAGCCGGGGCAGCGCCGTGCAGGATCAGTGCCCGTCCCCATCACCCTGTCCCACCACCCTTGCCGCACTGTGCACGCTGCAGCCCTCCAGCCAAGCCCAGGCATCCTGTTTATCTCCTTGAGGACCTTATCTCCTGCATTTCCCAGCTCCAGTCCAGCAGGTTGGACAGCTGGAAATGTAGAAAGCCAGCGGCGTGGGCTGTGCTGCATGCTGGGCGCTTGGGAAGCGGTTCTGCAGCTCCCCAGGAGTCACAGTACTCCCAGTGTCCTCCCCAGCACAGCCCAGCATTGCCATGGGGCCATGCCCGGCTGGTGCAGGATGATGCCCGGCTAGCACAGGGTGATGCTTTGGCATCCGAAAAAGTCAACCCGCTGTTTGGGAGGCAGCGCAGAGCCAGCACGGGGGACGCATGTGATAGCTCATGCTCAGAAAGGCATCACCGCTGTGGCCCCGGCCATGCTCTGAGCTTTTGGGCAGGGGATGCAGAGGGATGCAGAGGGATGTGGTGGGATGTAATGGGATGTGGAGGGCATGGGCTGCTCACTGCTCGCGGTCCCTCGGGTCGGGAGGCTTTGCTTTACACCCAGAGTCACCCTTGGAGACATCCCTCGAAGGACAAGCGTGTGTTGGGTTGGCTTCTTGCTGCCCTCATGAAATAGGGTGGTTGAAGACTTGTCCCCCCCAGCTGATGGGGAAGACCAAGAAGCTGGGGAGGGAATGAAATCTGTGTGCAGATGTGGCTGGGAAACCTCTGCAGAAGAGAAGGGACCTCAATCCGGTGGGATCCTCCGGGAAGGGCAGGGGCTGAGTGAGGGCAAGCGTTAACTACCTACATGAGCCTCCTCCTGCCCCTGAGGTTATGAAAATGTTGACAGCCTTTGCCATCCAGCTTGGGAGAAGAGCCTGCGCCTTGCCTTGTGCCAGCATCGCTTGGCTTTGCGTCGTCCCTGGTGCAGGGAGTGGAGGGGTGAGCGAGGGTGAGCGTTCCCCAGGGGCTGGGGAAGCTGAAGCCAGCAGAGAAATGCTGATGCATCGCCGTGGACCTGCACCTGCACGCTGGTTTTTGAAGAAAACTGCCTTGTCGGCTTTTCTTAATTACATTTAATTGTCGGAGCCACCCACTGGGCTTCTGCCCTTCCCTGCCCCAACCCAAAGTAGGGCACAAAAGAAATAGGTCAGCGTGGTGGTGAAGAACCAAATTGCACCATCCCGGCTGTGCCGGCGTCACGGGGCTGGGCAGATTGGGCAAGCCGGCTGGGGTGTGGGAAGAGCTGGTTCAGCTGCCTGCAGCTGCCTGCACCACATCATCGCCGGGCCAGGGCAGCGCTCCCCGCCGCCGTCGTGCCCGGGATGCTCATCGCTGGCACAGATCCTCATCGCCGGCACAGATCCTCATCGCCGGCACAGATCCTCGGCAGCAGGCAGGGGGTTGACAGCGTGGCTTGCCCTTTTTCTGCAAGCGTGGCTTCCCCAGCTTGGCTTCCAGGATGTGCCTGCTGGCAGGGCATTTGCTTTGATGCCAACTTTGACCAAAATCCTATTTTTTCACGCCTTTTTCCGTGGGTGGCATCTGCTCACGGCTGCCTCTGCCCTCAATCGTGTCGTCCTCCCACCTCGGTGACGGTTTCCAGCGGTCCCATCCACTGGGTCGGGGCCGCTTGGTGCAACCACGCAAGCTGCCACACACGCCGTGCTGGGGGCCAGATCCTGAGGGTGCTGAGCACCCATGGGACCAGAAGCACGCTGACCGGGGCTTGCCCCGGGCTGCCATTTCGGGTGGACCTGGGCTGACCTCAGCGAGGTGCGTGCGAGGGATGTGCCTTGCCTTGGGTGCAGCGGGGAGCCAGAATTTTTTTCGGCGCCTCCCGGCTTGCCTGGCCGCTGGGGCCGTCTCCGCGAGCGTGCCGTACCGGGGCTGCCTCTCAGCAGTGTTTGTTCTTATTTGTTCTCTCTGTCTCTTAGCAGCTAAATTAAAACTTGTTGAATGGGAGCACCAGGGGCCCTTAAGCCCTGGGCTTTTTTCTCTCTCTGCTCACGCAGCCGCCATCGCGTACCGGGCAGGAGAAACGCGGCGACAGGACCCCCGGTGCCCCCCCCAAATTGGGGGACCTGGTGTTTTCACCTCCTCCAGCAATTTCCTTGCCCCAACTGACCCCTCTAGTCCCCCCGAGCTGCTGGGATGAGGGTTTTGCAGCCGGAGGGAACGGGGCTGAGTCCTCATCGGATGCTCAGCACCGGTGGCTCAGCCCCGGCTCATCAGCTCCTGTACCATGGCCTCATCCCTGAGGGGGGGGACCACTGTGATGTGTCACTTGGCCACACCGAGGTCCCGCTGTCCCCCGGGGCTGTGGGACACCTTTGGAGCCGGATGGCTCCTTTTAGAGGTGGGGGGTCACCCCGCCGCCGCGTTGGCGAGAGGGAGGGATGCGCTCGGTGGTGGCGGGGGGGGACACACACATGGACACTTGTGCCTCGCAGGAGTGGGATGTGGGGGGCGAGGGTCAGACGTGGGGGCTGCGAGTGTCCCCGTCCCGCTGGAGTCGAGCATGGACCCCACTGGGCAAAATGGCCGGTGGAGGGGGAAGCCCATCGCTGGGGTGCGCAAGGGGCTGGCGGCAGGGCAGGGTGATCCCCGTCCCACCCCAGCAATGACTTTGCTGGACCCGTGGTCCCTCCGCACCGCAGGGATGTGCCGGCGGGTTGGGAATCGCCGCGGCCGAGCTCTGGCCCTGGGGTAGCAGGTAGCAGGTGGGAAAGCAGAGACTCTCCCTCTCTGCATCCCGACGGAGCCGGAGGGACGTCGGGTCACCCGCTCCTTCCCTGCGTCCCTCCGCACCGGGAAGCGACCCAGGACGAGCCCTGAGCGCTCTTTCGCGGCTGAGGCCCCTGAAAAACCCGAGAGGTTTACGGTGGAAATGCTGACGGGCGTTTTGGTGGGAGCGCACAAAATAGCACCGCTCTCATTTTCCATTCTGGCTGCGACGGCTCGTGCTGCGCCGTGCAAAAGCGAGACCACATTTTCCTGGGGCGACGGGATCTGCTGTCATTGGCGTAAAAAAATCCCTGTGCTAGCACTTTCTCCGGAGGGTGACCCGCTGCTTTTCCCCGGTGGGGGGGGGACAGGAGGGTGGGAGGGGGCTGCCCCGTTCCCCACCATCTCCCTGCTCTGCGGGTGCAGGATTTGCCGGGCGCGGGAGCTGCGGATCCTGGCTGAACCCGCAGCTCCTGGCGAGCAGCCGGCGCCGGGGATGGGAAGCGTGCGAAGCGAGGGCTTGCCGGGGCCGAGTCGCTGCTTGAAGCCGGTTTTAACCTTTTCTGCAGAGCTCGGCTGTTGGGATGGGTGCTGGGAAGGGGCTGCCCTCACCCCAAGGCAATCCCCTGCCATCGGTGCAGCGAGTAACCCCTCCGGGCGAGGGGGCTGCGGGGTGCGGGTGGGGTTGGGGGGACCCTCCGGGGATCTTTGCTCCTTGCTCTGATGAAAGCCACCTCTTTCCCCAGCACCCTGGACATCTTCCCTACGCTGGTGGCCCTGGCTGGGGCTGAGCTTCCCCCGAACAGGCGTTTCGACGGTTTGGACGTGTCCCCAGTTCTCTTTGGGTGGTCGGATGTGGGGCACAAGGTAAGGCAGAGCCACCCCCCCCGGTGACTTCCCCCTCCTGACAGCAGGTCCCGCCGTCTCTGAGCTAAAACAGGTAAGTGGGGAGTGTAAAAACTCAGAGATGGTGACATGCGGACCCATGGGAGCATCATCCCCCCCGGCCTGGAGGAGCAGAACAGCCAGAGACGGCCGGGTGCCGCACCAAGGCTGGGCTCGGGGTACCGGGATAAAAGGGCTTTTGGATTAATGAAGGCTTGTTTTACGCTTTGTTCATAAATCTGGGATTATAGGTGAAAATAGCCACGTGTGCAGCCTGGCGTGCTTCCCGTGTGCCGGCAGGGCTGTGCCCGCCATCCCGGGGGATGCCATCCCAGCGCATCCTTGGGCTTGCCTGCCCGACACGGCATGTGTCCTTTCCGATCGCAAAAGGTACAGCGGTGTGGGAAAGAAAAAGATCCCAGGGGCTCTGACCTAGTTGTATCTGCTTTATTTATCTTGCCAGATCAAGACATAATGAAGCCCTCCTTCTCCCAGCTCCCTGGCTGGGGAATGTTCCCGTTGTTACTGATGTTCAAGCGGGGCAGCCCACCCCATACCCTGCAGCTCTCTGTCCATACAATAGGAGCTGCTGACAGCTCCTTTAAGCCTAAAAAACACAGTTAGCAGAACAAGCAGTATGGCGATGCATTTTTCTGAGTTGCACAAGACTTTTGCAGAACCAAAAGAAAAAGAAAAAAACCAGAAGTGGCTTTAATACCAGTCCCACAGATAAAGCCCGATTTTGCCTTTAAAGTCCACCCTCCTGTGAGGACCACAAGCCAGCTCCCAGCAGGGATCTTGGATTTGCTTTCTGTGTCCATCAGGGTTTTGGTATTTGCTTCATATTTATGGAACCCTCTGCTGAACCGTGAGATAAAGCGGGGAAGCGGATGGGATGCGGCCAGCGTGCTCCGCTGTGCGCCTCGCAATTAACCCTCTTCTGCACGCGTGGTGCCAGGACGGGGGGGGACTGGTGGTCTGCTGGGAGTGATGGTTTGCTGGGAATGGTGGTTTGCTGGGAGCGATGGTTTGCTGGGAGCGATGGTTTGCTGGGTGTCAGGGCGCGGTGGAGGGGCACGAACCCACGCCAGCCATTCCTGTGTGTTTCAGACCAAGGAATAAAGCCCTGAGCTACGATGCACCGCCAGCTCCCCGGGCTTCCCCAGCATCACCCCAGCCCAGTGCTTTTTTTGGGGGGGGGGGTGAATTAACCCCTGTGGGGCTGGGAGCCAGGGCAGGGGGGCACAGCTGGGTTGTTCCTCCCCGTCCCGGCACCGCGAGCCATAGTGGCATCCCCAGGGGATGGGGTGACCTTGGGGGGGGACACACAGCACCCGCCTGCTCCGGCCCCGCGGGATGATCGGGAGCAAGCGCGTGTCCCCGCTCCCTCCCCTCTTGGCTCTCTGCCTTTCATCTCCTGCTAGCAACCCCCGCTTTGACGTTACAGGGTTTTCCTTGACACAAATCCTCCCGAAAGCGGTTCCTTTGCTCGCCCCGCCGCCCGGTTTCCGCACGCCACCGACAGCTGCTTTCCTAATCGGGATTTTTTTGGGTGGCTGAGGCTCCCCGGCACGAGCTGCCGGCGGTAACCTTGCTCGGCGTCCCAGCCCGCTCGCTCGACACCGGCACTGGGGCGATGCCAAGGTCCTGTTTCGAGCGAAGGCTATTTACAGTAAAAATAAACACATCCGACAAGATGTATCAAGGGTACAAGTGTCAGACAAATAAGCTCTTTCCATTAGCTTAATGGCAGAGGGGTGCGCGCCGGCTCCCCGCGTGTTTGCTGGCTTGTGCAAACAGCCCAGAGCACCGAGTTCAGACAACGGGTTTTCTGGGGAGAAAAGGCTTTCCCCCCCCCTTTTATTTTTTCATTAAAGTAACAAAGTCACAGATCAATAGGAGGTTTGCCGACCTGGGAATATTTCTCGAAAGGGCTCAATCGAAACAAGCTCCTTAATTATGTAGTAAATTATAATAGATTTTCTTAGCGTGGGGTTTTATGAGGCAGGTTTAGGAACGTGCTTGTTGGTAGCAGGGGAGGTTTGAGTGTCCTTACACCGAGATGGCAGCATCCCAGCTGTGCTGCTGAAGGTGTAGGCAAAGCTTTAAGGCTGGAAGCAGATGAATTGCTTCAGTTCCTGGTACCTTGGCTTCACGGGCCCTTGAATATTTGCTGATTTCTGCTTTGGAGCTGTTTTATTCTGCCTGAGGAGTGTCAGCATACAGGGACTCTGTAGCAGGGGTTTCCTCCTCGCAGCAAGCTTACACTATACCACCTCTTCCAGTTGACACCCTTAATTTTTTTCACTGAAACATGATTTTTAAACCAAATTCCAGAAGGCGATTTTTTTTTTTTTTTTAATTTACCTCGCAATGGAGGGCAATAAAGGAAACCGAGAACGTTTGGAAATCACCCCCCACCCTGAATCCTGGCATTTCTTGGATGAGTTACCAACTGGCCGTGTCCGGACTAGGCAGTGTGGGATCGACATCTCCGGGTGACCGAGCGGGATGCCCAGCGGTGCTGCGTGCCGGGGCAGGGCTCCGCGCCGGGCACCTGCTAAGGCATTACCAAGCCGATCAGCTGCGAACGCTGTTACTAAACTTGGCACCGCAGCTGCCTACAACTTCAGCAGATGTTTCTAATTTTTAGCACAGTGGAAATTTCTTGAATCACTTTTAAACTCAATTCCCGGGGAGGAAACCTCGAGTGACTCATCCCTCAATGAAGACATTGGCTCCACGGCAGATATTATCTGACAGATGAGCCCGCTGAACCCTCCAGCTCACTTGTCTTCTCGCTCCCGTGTGCCAAAGCAGTCCTCCTGTGCGGATCACGTGTCCTAAATACCGAAAAGGGAGAGATTCGACCCACCCTTCCCTTCTTACCCCCATTCCCCGTGCCGGGACGGCTGTTGTTAGGGAAGGGAGCGCTCGCACAGCGGGGTGAGTCAGCGATGGAGACGGACCGGCAATGATGTTCCAGCTCCTCACCTACCCGTGCTTCGCATGAGCTCACCCTCAGCTTGTGGCTTGCTGCTGGCCCCAGGCAACGGTTGGGCTCCCCTAGATGTCCCTGCCACTAGCCTGAGCCGTGAGCACCGAGGGAGATGGGTGTCTCGTCGGCATGGGGCAGCGGTGGGTGATGTAGAGCACCTGAGACCGTCCTGGCTCCGAAATATTCTGCCCTGCTCTGCTGAAAGCCCCTGCACCTTCGCGATCCCTTTCTTGCAGTAGAATTGGTCTGGGGAGGTAAATTCGGGGGGGGTCCTGCGTGCAGGACCAGGAAGGCACAAGAGAGATGTTGGTGTTTCCCAGTGCCCTTGTGCTGTCAGCCCACCCTTCTGCAAGCAGAACTCGGTTGGTTGCTCAGAGTCCGGGGGCTAAATGATGCCTCTAAATGTGTGCACGGGTGGGATGTGGTCTTATCTGGGGAGGGAGGGGGTCTCACAGAGCCGGTTTTCTCTGCAACAGGCTGACGGGCACTTTTCTGTTCTTCCTTCAGGTTCTGCTGCACCCCAACAGTGGGGCAGCTGGGAAGGACGGTGAGATAGAGACGCTACGGCTGGCTCAGTACAAGGCGTTTTACACCACAGGTACTGTGTCCCTTTTAGAGATGGTAAAGTCTGGGAAAAAACTTCTGGACTTTTTGGTTCCCTGCAGATAGAGCTGAAAACCAGTTCAGATTAATTCAAGCAAGAGCAAACCAGTGAGGAGTAAGTATGTGTCCCTCTGTGTCTGTGTGATGGGCTTTCCAGCTCGGGGTTGTCAGCCTCAGAAGCACTCTCGGAGTAGCAGCAGGACCCAGGCTTCCAAAGCTGGGACGTGGTGGGACTGGGCCACCACAGATGGATGAGTAATACAGAGGTGATCCCTGCACAGTCTAGGACTCCAGTGTTTTTCTCTTGTTTCCTCCCTAGGAGGGGCAATGGCTTGCGATGGGAGCATCGGGCCAGCTGAGCATCACCAGCCACCCCTCATTTTCAATCTGGTTCGTGATATCCAGGAGCAGGAGCCTTTGGACATGGCATCCCGAGAGTATCAGGCAGTGCTACCTGCAATCAGCAGGGCTTACGCCCAAGCTCTGGAGGACATCGCAACAGACAACGTCTCGGTTGCAGATTATTCCAAAGACCCGGCCGCGACCCCCTGCTGCAACGCGCAGCATGTGGCCTGCCGATGCCAAGCGCCCGGGTCTCACGCAGCCATGCCGGACTGTCACACGGAAAGAAGAGCAACACGGCTTTGTCTTTAAGCAAATAATTGCTCAGGCTGCTCCTTTCCCGAGTCTGGTTTCTGTGAACACGACTGTTGTGGGTTGCTGGCTCCAGGCTGGAGGTTGGCCGCAGAGGAGAGGGATGGAGGCTGCGGTCCCGTTTGCTCCGTGCTATGAAGCCGGGAGGTGAGTTAGTTGTGGGTCTGCATCAGCACACGGAGGGTCCCCTTTGCTGCGGAGCTGGACTGTCACCCTGGCAGAGCAGGGCACTGCAGTACCTGGTGGCTCTGGGCACATGGCAGGAGACAGGCTTTTTGTAGGGCTCTTTAGCTGAGAAAGAGCCAGGGCTTGGATTAAAACTACCTTCTGTGAGAGCTGGCTTTGGGAGAGAACTCCCCTGGGAAATTCGTTTGGCTTTCCCCTAAAATAAACCTTGCAGGAGCGGCTGGTGGGAGCACGAGGCAGGGGAGGACGGGGCCCACAGCCTCCGAGCAAACGTCCCTTCTGCTGCCGAGAAGTCCATGGCTCCAGAGAGAAAATTCCCAGCCGGCACGAAGTAAGCACTCTGGGAAAGAGAGCACCTGCCCCACCAGCCGCCGAGTGAGGTTTATTAACAGGGTTATGTTAAAGACCCAACTGTCTGTTGAGGAAAGAGGGTCCTGGGCTCTCCCCGACTGCTGCCCTCCTCGCGGACGGGATGCTCGGCTCGTCCTGCGGCTGCTTTGCACCGCCACGGCGGAGGTCGGGGATTGCGCTGAGACAAGGACTCAAGTCCCGGTGTTTGGAAAAGGCTTTTTTTGGGGAAGCTGTGGGGGAGAGGTTTGCAGCACAGAACTGGGGTAGCTCCCCATCAACTTTGGCTGGAAAGATCAGTGGTGTAACTGAATTTTTTTTAGGAAGGTCAGGGAGAGGTTCCCTGCCCAGAGTTCTCCCAGCAGATGAGGGTTCCAGGCAGAGAAGCTGCTCCTGCCGGTCCCAGCGTGATTCCAGGGGTGCAGATGGGGTGAAACAGCTCTCAGGGCCATTGCTAGGCAGATGCAAATGCCTGGGGAGCTGCAAAGGCAAAATCGAAGGTGCAACTGAAACTTAAGAAACCACCGGGATTTCTCAGCAGCTGAGCGAGGGTTTTCTGAAACAATTTTGGACTCCGATTTACGCACGCAGATCTTTCTTCGGACAAGCTGTAAGTGGACTTGGCCAGGTGGGTCGGGTTGTGTGGGAGCAGCCATCCTTGCACCAGCCCCCCAAACCCACTCTCCCACTCATAAAACTTAATCAAGACTGACATCTTTAGGGCCCCACAAAGAACAGCAGGAGCACGGGCAGTGAGCTGCCAGGGACAGACCGTGACTTTATTCTGTCTTTAAACATAGCAAATGGCATCTTCTCTAATATCACTGCAAAAATACTTTGCCTGGGTAAAATAGTATGTATATACTGTACAAAGACATAAGTTTAATATATCTTCCTATAAGTACATTTATACACATAAACCAGCATAAATTAGAAAAGGGTAAAACGGGTATATAAAATTCTGGTTACATACAAATCTGATTAAATTAGCATTTACATTGTGGTTCTAACATAGTTTGTTAAATATAGCGATGTGCATACAGTACATTGACACCCCACCCAGACACGGATTAAAACAAGGGACTAGCGGGGCCAGGTATTCACTTAAACATACTGTAGGAAAAAGCAGTGGCCCACCTTGGATTTTTTTTTTTTCTCGTCTTGGGGACTCACAAATCTGTTCTTCGAAATTCCTGGCTTTTCCAAAGCACTTCCCAGCAGCTGTCCTAAGCGCGGATGTTTGCTTCTCATCATGACCTCTTCACTTTGCCCGGCTGACCTCCACGGCACAAGATTATCTACCAAAATCAAAACAGAACGGCCTTACTTTTCCCAGCAACAGGGTGTGTTTCAAGTTGGTTTTACGCACATGGGAGGAGAAGGGGGAGGGATGTCCTGCAGTGTTTTACTTTCCATTCAAAGGCAGATTTGTGAGCAGTTTATTTATTTACTGTCCCCCTCCCCAAATTTACAGTCTTGGGAACAGGAACCATCTGGCTTGGTGATAAGTGTGTCTTGCCTCTAGCTGGCATTGGGCTGAGCACAACCACTCTTGCAGGAGTTCAATTACTGGGGGTGAAGTCCGTTTGCCTGGCTAAGTCCTCCTAAAAAGTTCAGCTCCTGGCATGGCGGGAGGGGAAGGGTGCGTGCCGTGCATCACCGTGTCTCTCCAGGCTCTCCAGATGGTGCCCGGAGTTAAACACCTGCATGTTAGACTGGTTTAGGTGAGGAGAAGCCTAGCCTAAGTATCAGAAAAACCTTTGAGTGAAAGAGTAAAGAAGGCGCATAGAAGAATAGGCAGCAGCGAGGACCCTGAACCACTTCACATCAGCTGCTCGTGCCACGGGACGAGGCTGGAGACCCTGGGGTAAGATGTGCCTCTGCGGACACTAACCGTGAGCCAAGGCACAGCTCTCCCCTTTATCAGCTCCAGCCTTGCTAGACGTGACCTGCGTCTCCCAGCATTTCGGATGCGATTCCCACAGCCCCAGCTGCAGGAGCGTCTGTGTCAGCTCCTCCTCCTGGGAGCCGTCTCTCCATGGGCTTCAGAACCATCGCTTGCCCAGTTCCGAAGCACAAAACGTTGGCCCTGGATTGCATGTTTCCCAAAGGACCTCAGATAATGTACTGATAAGCTGGGCTTAATCCTGCAAGCCCCAGCTGCCCAAAATGCCTGTCTGAGCTACCAGGGCGGGAGCTGCTGTGTGGAAGAAGAGGCCAGTCAGGGTCTGCCAAACTTGCTCATCCCCCGTGAAACACGATTATTAGTAGAGCTTCACTGCAAAATCTATGGCCTTTCCTCTGCTAACAGCCAGCTGTTAAAAAAAAAAAAAAAAAAATCACTTAAAAATCATTAGTGTCGCATATCCGCGCAACAGAACGACTGAAACACCATCCAGCAGACAGTGAGGAGGAACTTGGGCAAATACCGGTCCCATGGAGCCGAAGATTCATCTGCAACCCGGTTGCTTGTATTAAGATCCGTGGTTTGGAGCAGCGGGGATGTGTGCGGACCCCATGCACACATTTCTCCCCCCTGCAGACAGCAGCGCTGCCAGGGCGGGGATGTCGAGCTGTTGAGGGAGGCCGTGGTGCACGGGCTGCTGGAGCTCCTGCTCCTGCTTGTCCTTCCAGGGAGCAGGCAGGAGTGGGAGCTGCAGCAAGGAGGAGTTTTCGTTCTGCCCTATGCACCCTGTAACCAACGCTGCAGGCAGGAGCCACAGGCAGCAGCATCCTTTGGCAGCACAGGCAGGCTGCCCCAACAGTTTTGGAGGTAGCCAAAAATCAATGTGGAAGGATGTTTTTTAAAGACTACCTGTGTATCGGTGAGGGGAAGCTGTCTTTGAAGAGCTGACTGCTGTATGCAATCTAGCCTGACTTAATGAAATGGCTCTCCCGATAAAGTCTTCACATCAACTCTGGCCCCGAAGATGACAAGCTTCAGCATGCAGCCAAATGCAGGACGGATCACGTATGCCTGCAAAAGCATCGAGCAATCTCCTGGAAGAAATCACCTTTCCTACCGAATCCCAGAAGTTTTAAGAAGATCCCCTGGTTGCATTCCTCAGGTCCACACAGGCCATCTTGCTTGCTGAATCCTGTAGGATTTCTTTTGTCAAGCCTCACAGCACTACCCCAAAACTGTTCTGACCATGCCTTGTGTGGGGAGAGCCACTATGGTGGCTCCCAAAAGTGAAGCTGGCCAAGCAGTGCCCTGCCTGACCCGAAGCACACACCAACAGCTCCAAACACTGCTGGATACCTCACCGACACCAATAAACCCACAGAAAAGCGGCAGCTGCTCAGGCAGGTAACCAGAAAACAGCCGTAATCGCCGCAATCGTTTACAGCCAGAGCTGGGTTTGCTCTTCCCATCCCACAAAGCCTTCTGACCACGCAGAGCAAGGGCGACGCAGCCTCCTCCCAGCACGTCTCCAGCACGGCACCACCTCCTCACCTGAGGCTTTAGCCCGCTGTCCATCTCAATAACACCCGCGTCCTTTCTGCGTAAGATCAACAGCAGACCTGAAAGCACTTAATCCACCCCATCAATGCAAGCAAGAGACGTAACTGAACTTGTTTAACCTCTTGACGCAGGATCCTTCAGCAGTCCTGGCACAATCAGTAGCAACATCCACATTCGCTCTTGTTGAGGCCATTTTTTATGAACCCTCCTTGGGCTTCTCTTCTCTTCTCTGATCTGTCCCTCCTTCTGTTTAATGAACAGGCAGTTTTTGACAGTCAGCAACAGATTTTATGTTAGACTGAAGCTGCTTTTCCTCGCTCTTAACAGCTGAGCCTCTGAAGTCTTGCTTGAGGTCAAGGGAAGGCAAGATGTTTCAAAATGGAGAGGAACTGCTGGGTCTGAGCACTGCTGTTTCTCCAAAAGTATGTCTAAGTTCAAAGCCATACTCGTGGCGTGGGCTGTGGGTGAATATTCCATTTTGTCACAAGTTTTGAGGTTTTTAAAGGTCTTTTTGTTGCACACTGGAAAACAAACAAAACCCTTCCCATGTTTCCGCAAAGCAGAATGCTGTCAAAACATTTTTGTTGGATAAGGTCAGGTTTTCTCTCCCTCCTTCTCCGCACAGAAGTGACCGATGCTTGAAACCCCCCTCGAATGCGTCACTCAGACCGAACATCTCAGTGCTGAGAAAACAGCGAAGTTCAGTGAAATTCAGAGCATCAAAACATCCCGACCAACTCTCTGTACGCACTAACGCAGCAGGAGCCAGCGCCGCACTAGCTGGTAGACCAGATGCAAAACACATTACTGTCAGCAACGGAGGGGCAAAACCGACGTCCTAGCTGCAGAGACTTTATCTGGAAGCTCCAATTGCTAAGCCACCTTATCAGGGAGTATTTTTGGAAAGCGCCTTCCCTCCCACACCACCTCCTCCCTAACGTTACACATGTAAGTTGCTCTGTCAGGTTAATTACAGCACAGGATTTTGACAGATCAAAGTTCATTTAATAAAGCGCCTGCTGTTGTACAGCAGGGGTTTGGGGCTGCTTTTATACGGCATAGTCCCAGCAGGAAGGCTTATTCAGGAGCAGCGTGATTCCTGCTTGCTGGCATTTGCTTGTCCCCAAACCACATGTTCAAGAGCAGGTTCATCAGAAGGAAGCAAAGGATTTCTCTCTGGCCCTGCTGCTCCTTCCAGGGGCCTGGGCCACCAGCTTCTCCGCGGCCACACGACTTTGACCAGAGGAGGGACATTTTAAATATCCTTCTTGGGTAACGGAGTCAGACAACTAGAAAACTCTTGTTCTCGGTTTGCAGCAGGTTATGTTACAGGTAACAAAAGAGAATTGGTCTAAGGTTTATGCAACTTGAGTTGGATTTAGGCAGTGTTGTTTCAAAGGGAGTCATGAGCTAGTCATCTTTTATCGAAATAACACTTTGCATCAGTTAATAGGAATATGCCTCACAGAGGTCAGCCTCAGCATATGGAACAAATCCTGGGATCCCGATAAAAGTTTTTACTTCCTCCCTTTCAGGCAAAACTCCAACAGCAGGATATGTAAAAACTGAGTAAGGGATTCAAAACTCTGCCAAGTCTACAACTTGAAATCCATTACAATATTCTGCTGTATTAATGCATTACTATTACGAAGACACCGCTGATTACAACCAGATCATAGCACAGTACCAACATCTGTCCATTTAGGGGTTAGATACTTAACATAATAAATGCGTGTGTAATAGGAAGAGGAGCAGGAGAGACACTGCCAGGCTTAAGTTAGATTTTAAAAAGCCAGCATCTTCTTCCAACAGTAACTGAGAAAGTGCCACATAAAAATCATAAAATGGTTTAAAACTGTTATACCTTTCATCTTTGTACATGGAAAAGGAGTTTTCTTTTCAGTTAGCTTGGAAATGAAGAGACTGGTGAGGTTCAGGTATGTGCCAGTTGCATTCTGTAAACTAATACAACTGACTATAAATGCAACAGGGAGTATTACATTTTTATTT